ATTATTCTCTAGAAAAACCCTCAAACATTTTTCTTCTGCATTCACTCCAATTATTATTTTAGCTCTTTCTTAGTTCGATATATGAAATTAGGATTTGAGCTACCACGATACCAAACATCTGGATACTTTACCGCAGAGACTTTTAAATCCTGACGTTGGACATCACACATAGTTGTTTATTTGACTAAATAGTCAGTCGTTTCTTGCAGCCCTATAGTTTCATACTTTAAGACAATTTCAATAATGATTTACATTTTCATAATTAATTTTCTCATAGAAAACAACAGAAAGTAAGAAATTGTAAATTATTTCCTAATGCATAATACATTTTTTGGTGAAATAAACATTTTATATTTATGACCTCTATCGAAAATCCATGAGCCACGACAAAGAAGTTAGTTATTTTCATTATTGTTAGTATCATTTTTAGTGTTTCTCTTTTGGGAAACTTTTTCAATTTTATCAACACATTTTTCCACGAAGCAGAAGTCCAAAAGACATAAAAAGTATTTTTTTCTGCATTTTCATGATTTTTTTTTTTTTACCAACTAAAAGTAAAAAAAACTAAAATGATGTCCAAACCCTGTTTTGGTGAAATCGATATGTATTATTCGAAGATTAAAATAAATGACCTTTAGTATAGTTCAAGAATCCATGGGACATTATTGACGGTATCATTTTTAGTATTTGAATAATACGTTTGTTCATAAAGCAGCAGCATTCGTGCACTTTTTCACGTCATCAACCCTTGTGTTCACACTGAAGGCCATCATTTTTAATTAAAATTATTTTATATCAATATTATTATTCATGTTAATATCAATTGATCAATTATCAACCCTAACCCTTGAAAAACAACTGATCGACTTGCTCATTGTTTTTATTTTATTTTGAGACAACAAAAACGAAGCTTTTCATGATGTGAGGGTCCTCTGTTGCAGCTCTCTAGTGGTACTGTCTTCCCAGGGAGGACACCACCACGGCCAGGAACTTCTGGAAAGCTGCCTGGACTTCTGCAGTGAAGGCTTCACCGAACCGAGCAGCCACCACGATGGTCAGGCAGTCGGAGAGGAGCTGCAACACAACAAGCATCAGAAGCATCAGCGACATGAACGGTTGGTCCTCTTTTTAACGCTTGTTGAACAAGATCAACATGTCGAAAGTTACCTTGAAGTTGTCGGGGTCCACGTGCAGTTTCTCGGAGTGCAGCACGCTCAGCTCGGCGTAGGTTGCCTTGATGTTGTCCATGTCCTTCACAGCCCGCTCCAGTCCGTTGAGGATAGTCGTTCCGTGTTTTGCAACCAGCGGATTTCCCATAATTGCTGCGGCGTTGTAGAGGTTTCCGAAGTTACCGAAATACCTCTGAGTCCAGGGGTAGACGACCAGACACCTGAGGAAAGCACGTCAACGTCACACGGTGAAATGTGGAGATCAAACCTATGTGCGGAGAGGAGGAATTGAAAATGTCTGAAAAGCGTTGTGCACAATGACTGAAGGAAATCCGGATCCGTTGAGGATTTCGTCTCATGCACACCTGGTTAACGCAGAGTTAAGACTCACCTGGACAGAGCTGCAGGACCTACGACATCATAGTCGATTTTGGAGAAGATGTCCTGGATGGTGGCGCGCTCGAATTCTGTCCATGCAACCATAGTGCCGATTCTTCTGGTGATCTGTCGGTTCTGCTCTCAGACATGAGATGCGGTTTTTAAAGGCCCCCTGCTCCCCTCCCTGGTTGGATGGGCGGTGGGCTGGCCAAGGAGTCCACCATTTCTTAGATTTGCAACATTGATAACAGTAGAACGACGCCTAAAATGTTTCAGACAGAAATAAACTTGGGTCTAATGGTTCTGGTTCATTGGTTACATGTCTTCGTTCAATAGCAACGTCGTTTTTGAACGATGCCGTTTTAAAAAAAGAGTTAATGAACGTTTAAAATGTTACAAGGTTGGTTTAACAATCACCTTATAACTGCCGTTGAGCCACATTCCTCTCGACAGAGCAGAACTTTCTCTTAATATTGATGGTTGTGTGTTGATAGTCCCCCTGGTAATGCACACTATATGGAAGGTTGTTGTTGTACATCGGCACGGCTCTTAGAACACTGATGAACAATACATCGAGCTGCGTTAATTGCTCTTCTTGTCTGAACAAGGAAGGGATGTAAATGTCATTAAAATACTTAAACCGTGGTCGGATGACGAAGGACGAACGAAGGGACGCAGAGCAGTAAAGGTAACATCTGGAGTAAAGTCTGTCGAAAGGCATCCGATGACCAAACCGATTTTGTTGGGCCGGGATCCGCAAAGTGGCGCCATTAACACAAATTAGGCATTGAATGCATCTTTGGAGATTGAGAGGCCGGTCAAGATTTTCAAAAGTAAAAATAAGACCCACTCCCTTCCGGGGGGAATATATCTGTTGCTTCAGTATCACATTACCGTGAAAGAATTGTTTTACTCCAGAAGATCAAGAGTGAATTGATTATCTTGATTCTTTGTCTGAAGCTGCCATCTAGTGGTTTATGAGGGGAGGGAAGACAAAGTTAAGATACGACAGTTTTTCCGTTTTTACCTGAAATGTAGGCCTATATCTCGGGTTTGCGTCCCATATTAACAATATAATCGAATAATGCACTCGATAAGCTTAAGTTTCCACCGCGTTGCCAATATCTAAATAAGATGCAAGGACCATGATGATGGTTGAACACAAACATTTTCAATCCACTAGGTGGCATTCCAACACAATGTAGGCCAAGAGTGAGCTAATTTATGTTTCAATGACCTGCACACTTATATACCGTTAATTTACGTTACAATTATTTGGCATAATCTTAATCTAAAACATTAAACGGGGCATGCTTGAACAATATGATATGATTAAACTAATTATCAGTGCATTATTACAACTGTATTCGTTTAGTTGTCTCTTATGGTGAGACTTTCAATCATTATTGCCGACCAGCTCCCACGTCAGCCCTCCTGGCTCTTGGTAGTAAATTCACAAGTCTCTTTTTTGTAGTTGTAATACTTAATTCTAGATTGCTGGCTCTTCATCTCATGTTGTGCAATGATGGTTTATTCTAATATATCTCTCGTGATAGATCAAAACCAATAAAAAAACATTTTTCGGCCCAACTTTGTTCGGTAATGTCTAGTTATGCTTTTACTTACATTTTTATTATTTACTTTTTATCGTGTACATGTTGCGATTATCTGTGTGAGCTTTGGGGTGCATGTGGTACTGCAGATGCGGTTTTATTTGTTGTCTCCCTTGTGTTTTTAACAGGAGACTGTGTAATGGTGCATCTTATAACGGTCGATAGGTGCGTCCCGGGATAGTCTTCAGGTGCGCCGCTCCGCCCCTTTAAAGGGCCCGGTGTGGTGCAGGTGCAGGGGGGCAGTTGGAGCAGCACGGACCTTATCTTACCACGTACCTTTACCCATGCTGGCCCAATTTCGTGTCCTTTTTTTACCTGTCTTGTTTTGGGGGTGCAAATATTTGCCTACATTTCAACCCGTTTCTCTTTCTTTAAATTGTTCATTTACTTTTTCTATTTCTTCATATTTCTTCATTCTTCATATTTAGCTTAGACACTTTGGGGTCTGACTACAACGGGAGATAAAGTACCAGCTCCGCCCTATAAGGCGAATGCAAATATAGTTACAGGGTCTTAATGCCATAACGGATTAAATGTTATATGCTGTGTATATTGTAAAGTCTGAAATCCCTCTCGCAGACGAAACTTACGGTCGACGAAAGCGCTGCGGGCGGTCATTATGTTACTAATTCGTATTTTTTTTATTTTCGTTCAATCTAAACTGTTTTTCAATCATGTTTTAATAGAGTACTGTATATCCATAGTACATTTGTTTATTAGTACATTATTATTGTTGATATAGCTACAATCTCCACATCGAATGACCTTTTAACGCTGTATCAGCTGTGGACCAAATTATTCTATGTAAATCGTTCATTGCAGAAGGATGATTTAAATCAGTACTTTTTCCTTGAGCGTTTACACCGTGAATAAAAATATTTCGAAAGGTTTTTATTTCATCAGCACAAAAATATTCAATTCTTTTAACCTCGGGGAAAGTAAAACGTCAGTTATTACTGAAGACAGCAAACTACAATTCAAACCTGTGTCATTTTCGATTTTACGAGCTTAACAACGGTCGAATAATTCAGTTTCTCAAAAACAATATAACGTTTTGAATGAGTCTTGGTCGTTTTCCCACTGTACTAATTTGCTTTTGTGAGGATTTAAATGTCATAAAAGAAAAAATAAATGTATTCCATAGTACACCGAGCCATTGCGAGAAGTTTATCTCACGCAACCTGCAGCGTTCAGTTTGGAAGGTGTCCAAATGCGCTGCTGCCTATCTTGGATGTTGCTCGGGAGTTCATGCACTGTTTTTAGCATTATAATTCAAAAGTCTGGCGTTTAATCGTCAAGTTAGTGTCAGTTATAAAGACAAGGATGCACAGCCCTCTAGGAGAAAGAGGCCAAACTGCACGAGCTGCTTCTAGAACACGTAATTTTATAAACGTATTATGTCCATTTATTACTGCGTCGCTTATTCACTATAAGTATTCACGGTGCCGGTAATAAATCCGCAGAAAAACGAGTTTATTGTTGAAAGTGCTTGTGATTTTTTGGCTTTGAGTGAACATTTTTATTTTATAATCTCCTTCACAGGTGAATAACTACTATTAAGAACAACGCATAATGTATAATAATAATAGACGTAATGTGATTATTATATTATATTATAATGTATAAACATTTGAAGGTTATTCTGCTGTATGATGCCAATACTACTGCTGTACCTTTCCCAGTTCAACCATTTGAATACAGGCCTCTCACGTCTCTCACTTTTCTACATACATAATGAAACATTAAATGGTTTAGGATGTATTTTCCTCCCTGAGCATTTATTGTGAAAAAAGGCTGCCGCTTTTACATCGGCCTGATTGACCATAAGCGCACACAGTGATGAGTGGTTGAAATGTTTTATTTATTTACGCCATTGAGACATGACAAACAACAGAGCTTTTTCGTGAACAGCGTGTGCGGGTCCTCAGTTGCAGCTCTCTAGTGGTACTGTCTTCCCAGGGAGGACACCACCACGGCCAGGAACTTCTGGAAAGCTGCCTGGACCTCTGCAGTGAAGGCTTTGCCCAACTGAGCAGCCACCACGATGGTCAGGCAGTCGGAGAGGAGCTGCAACACAACAAGCATCAGCGACATGAACGGTTGGTCCTCTTTTTAACGCTTGTTGAACAAGATCGTCAGTCGAAAGTTACCTTGAAGTTGTCGGGGTCCACGTGCAGTTTCTCGGAGTGCAGCACGCTCAGCTCGGCGTAGGTTGTCTTGAGGTCGTCCATGTTCTTCACACCGCGGTCCAGGCCGTGGAGGATTGTGGTGCCGTGTTTTGCAACCATCGGATTTCCCATGATCGCGGCGGCGTTGTAGAGGTTTCCGAAGTTGCCGAAATACCTCTGAGTCCAGGGGTAGACGATGAGACACCTGAGGAACCACGGAAGATCAGTCGCCACTCAAAATAAAGAAGTATATTCTTACACATTCATGTGGAGGAAAACATACAACATAGAAAAATAGAAGATTTGACCGACCTGGTGAGAGCTGCAGGGCCCACCACCTCATAGTCCATCTTGGAGAAGATGTCCTGGATGGTGGAGCGCTCGAAGTCTGTCCATACGACCATTTTGTCAGCTGTAGATGTGATCAACTACTACTGCGGGTCGGTTCCCGACTCCACTTTAATAGAACTACGTAACCCCTCCCCCAAATATGCGATCGTTATCTCTTCCAATCATTCGATCGAGTGGGTAAGTGGGTTGGCCGAGCGCGGTTTTGGAAAAGATGATAAAGAAAGGGCGAATCTGCAATGCTTTGAGGAGGCGAAACACACATTTAGTGGGGCGTGATGTGTAATTCTATATGGCAACATCAAGATAACAACTAACCCATACCTCCTCATTTTAAGAGGCGAGGAGTCATAGCAGTTAACGGTTAATGCCATAATCTTACAACTGGGAGACTGGCGATTAACTCCAAGTGGCAAGTTGTCATATATTAATAAATAAAAACAATATATCCGAATATTCCAATGAATGTAAAGAAATGTACAACGTTATCACGGATAAACCTCAATTCCCTTTGTCTCATAAATTAACTTTGTGTTAATGACATTTGTCACACGGATGTTGGTCCAATATCTAACATAAATATGTATATTTAATTTAATTTTAATTCGATAATTGATAAGATTACAGAAAATCACCTAAAATACCACATTAAGAGATCAGGAAAACAAAAAACAACAACACAAAATTTATGAATTCCAGATTTTAGATGTTTTGACCATCCCAGTAACTTTTAGAATATTGAGTTTGGTTGTTTAAGCGCTAAAGAAATGATCCAACTACGTCAAACGGTTATTGCTATTATGGGGATTAACATCCACACTTAATACACTTGTTGAAAGCAAAAGGGTCTCAACTTATAACCAACTTATGCAATTCAATGACTGTCTATCAACATGCACACATACGCCATCTCAGAATTGGCGAAAATAATGTATTAAAACTGCATGCAAAAAATCCACCGCGATGAGAAATAAAGAGCCGTGTTTAAATTAACTATAGAATTCGTGGGAGGTTTATCACATTCCGACTGCAACGTATCACTTGGAACCTTTCCAAATCGGGCTATCTTGAGGTATCCGGGGCGCGCCCCTGCGCCGTTTCATGTATAAAACACCCCACGTCTGAGCTGATCGGCATTCAGACAAACAACCGTCAAACAAGATGAGTCTCAACGCTAAGGACAAGGACGCGGTCAAGGCCTTCTGGGCGAAGGTGTCCGGCAAGGCTGGCGACATCGGATCCGATGCTCTGTCCAGGTAAATCCAGACCGCAGGAGCCGTTCCTGAAATACCCGTTTCTGTGGCCGCCCGCTTACTCACTCGCTCTCTTGTGTTCCTCAGGATGCTGACGGTGTACCCTCAGACCAAGACCTACTTCGCCCACTGGAAGGACATGAGCGCCGGGTCCGATCCGGTGGTGAAGCACGGAAAGGCCGTGATGGGTGGAGTTGCAGAGGCCATAAACAAAATCGACGACCTGAATGCGGGTCTCCTGAACCTCAGTGAGCTGCACGCCTTCACTCTGCGTGTGGACCCTGCCAACTTCAAGGTAGGTGTTGTCGTAGATGGGGATTCACACGTCATCTAATTTAAAAAAAAACGGAAGAAAAAAAAATCTTGTGGTTCAAGTATTTTAAACACCAATGCTTGGCCTTGCTTTAAATTCAAGTCTGCTCTTTTCACAGATTCTCTCCCACAACATCCTTGTGGTCATGGCCATCCTGTTCCCCAAAGACTTCACCCCCGAGGTCCACGTGGCCATGGATAAGTTCCTGGGCGCTTTGTCTCGTGCCCTGGCCGAGAAATACAGATAAACTGTATACAGGAGCCGCTGACGCACAGCAGGGTGATCTTTCATAAGATGCTCTCTGTCCTTGAGAATATTAATAAAATATCAAATGCAATGAACATGTTTGTGTGGTGGAGTGAATCTTTCTCAATCAGGTGGCCTATACGTTTTTCAAATGGGTTCAACTCAGGTCAATTGATAATGGAACGACGATATTAGGACCTATAAAGGCAATAAAAAATAGGGTTCACACATGGCAGATATGAGACACCGATAAAATATTGACATTTAACAGGTTCAACAGCAATGTATTTAAAGTATTATCTCACAATAAACCAATGACTATCAGTTAAAAACTCAATATTTCAACAGAGAGTAATATTAGTAATATACATTTTTTCCACATACATTTTTAAAATGTTGCCCCACTTCAAATTTTCTGCTTTAATGGATTATTTTCTATTTTCAACTATATTTAAAAGAGAAATATCGTTGCCATATCAAAATAACACATATGATTAGGTTTGCATTATTATAAGTGCATTGTAATAATACAAATATGTTCGATTATTGTAATGAATCATGATGTAAATCGTTGAAAGCGGTCATCATTGCCATATTGTAAACCTTCTCCACCACTGAAATTCATTATTACAGCACTATACTGTAGAAAGAGAAAAGGTTGCATGGTTTGGAATGCCGCGTTACCTCGTTTGAATAAAGGCTTTTACATCGGGCTGTTTAACCACGGACACAGACGGACAGAGAAGTGGTTGAAATGCTTATCGTTTTATTGATCCATTGAGACATGACAAACAACAGAGCTTTTCGCGATCAGTATGTGAGGCTCCTCAGTTGCAGCTCTCTAGTGGTACTGTCTTCCCAGGGAGGACACCACCACGGCCAGGAACTTCTGGAAAGCTGCCTGGACTTCTCCAGTGAAGGCTTTGCCCAACTTTGCAGCCACCACGATGGTCAGGCAGTCGGAGAGAAGCTGCAACACAACAAGCATCAGAAGCATCAGCGACATGAACGGTTGGTCCTCTTTTTAACGCTTGTTGAACAAGATCGTCAGTCGAAAGTTACCTTGAAGTTGTCGGGGTCCACGTGCAGTTTCTCGGAGTGCAGCACGCTCAGCTCGGCGTAGGTTGCCTTGAGGTCGTCCATGTTCTTCACACCGCGGTCCAGGCCGTGGAGGATTGTGGTGCCGTGTTTTGCAACCATCGGATTTCCCATGATCGCGGCGGCGTTGTAGAGGTTTCCGAAGTTGCCGAAATACCTCTGAGTCCAGGGGTAGACGATGAGACACCTGAGGAACCACGGAAGATCAGTTGCAACTCAAAATAAAGAAGTATATTCGTACACATTCATGTGGAGGAGAACATAGAAACATAGAAAAATAGAAGATTTGACCGACCTGGTGAGAGCTGCAGGGCCCACCACCTCATAGTCCATCTTGGAGAAGATGTCCTGGATGGTGGAGCGCTCGAAGTCTGTCCATACGACCATTTTGTCAGCTGTAGATGTGATCAACTACTACTGCGTGGGTCAGCACGCGATGCAATTTATTAAAGAGCGTTTCACTCCTCCCAGAAATAGGCGATTGGAATTTTATCCAATCATAGGATGGAACGGTTAAGTGGGTTGGCCGAGTGGTACGGTTTTGCCAAATTGATAAAGAAAATGCTAAGCTGCAATTCTTAGATTGTGTCTGAAGCAGAAGAAATAAATCATACTGGCTGCACATCAAGAAACGTGTCTGTCATGATAAGACATGTGGGCAAAGTCTAGGTTTGTTTGATGCCAAAAGAAGACGGCACTAAAAACCACCCTGAAAGTGACCGTTTAACAGAATATACTTGTATACTCTTTTACTCCACTCTGTAATAGAATGCACAATTCTGATTTAACTAATACAACGTCAACCTTTTAAAAATATATATTTCATCACTGCTAATGATGGCATCCAGTTTACGGACATTGTGGTGAATTTGTCTGTTTGTAGTAATACAAATCTAGAAGAAGTATTTTCCGTCAATGTAATATAATTTTGTGAAAATCTTAACTGATAAATTATCTTCTTTAATGCGTTATTGAGCATATGCTCTTAATGAATGCAAAAAATACTACGTGAAATGCATCTTTGTATTACTTCTCATCAAGCTTCTATATGATGTTTAAAGTTGTTTCCCTGCAGCTCACTTTCGATTTTCACTACCATTTCCAGGCATACATCGCAAAAGGCAAATAATGCTTTTCATTTTATCTGAACCCTAAATGCATATTTCCAGACCGGCCATCTTCGACTTTCAAGTGAATCTAGACACTCGTGAAGAAGAACAATTGTCACGATATGCGGAGGATGGACAGACAGACACACTCATATCTTTGTGATAACTCTCCTTAAATCACTCGCAACTGCCATCTATAGGGTGATGCAAGATGGACAATATTTCTCACATACCTTTAACTATGAAGGCTCTTTTTAATTCCCAAGTAAATTGATGGAAAACAACATGAATACAAAAATAACAATCTGGAATATATTTTCAGGTATCCCACATAGTACAATCTTGTTACCATATATTTTGACTTGGCGTTTTCTGCAGCCTGCACGGCGCTTTGTGGGGTCGTATTTGCTTTATACAGGCCACTGTTTGCTATTGTATATGATATACCATCACTAAACAGACAGCTATTCAGACCACTAGACGGGAGGAGTAAAGCACCGGCCGTTGTCGAAATAGCGGGAGGAGGATCCAAAAAGCAGCCTCTGTTTCAGCCGAACACTTTTCAAAGTGACACAAAACAATGGCGGCGGCGTGATATGGGAGTGCGGCAGGACTTCATGCCTCGGAAGTTATTTCTACTTAGGCTGTGATTCATTCCCGGCGCGGTGTTCGCGTCCGGCGTACAATAACACGCCCGCTACCAGCTGACGGTCACTTGTCGGGTCGGAGGTTCGCTGGCGGCCGACATCACGATGTTCAAGCCCTCAGCCGGGGACCGAAAGTCTCCCAGGCAGGCACAAAGTAGCCTGTGCGGAGCTGGGGACAAAACGAGTCCCATCAGCGTGGTACTTGTTAGCTCTGGTAGCCGGGGTAACAAACTCCTATTCCGTTATCCGTTCCAAAGAGCGGCCGAGTGCCCGGCGTCCCTGTCAGGTAACGTTGGTTTAGCTGTCGGCTCAGTGAGCTCCGTTAGCCGCAGAATCACAGCTCGGCCTCGAAACGCCAAATTAAGTTGAGTCTTTATTCAGTCCCCCTTGACTCTCGCATAAATATTCATCTACAGAGCGAGCACAACCGTTTTAAAATAACTTAATAAAAACAACTGCTCAGAACTGCCTGTTCAATGCTTGCAATAATCAACCGGGTTTCCCTTTAAGTCATTGGTTGTGTGAGCTCACTGTTGTTGTTGTTGTTGTGATTGGTTTTCGTGTGCTGTTTATTCTTTCCACATCCTTAAAGAAAGTTATCAATTAGCTGGATGTAAATTACCAGCAAACATGAACCTGTTGTTCTGTGACTTAAAGGGGAGCAACATTTTTTCTAATGTGTTTTACTTTTTTAATGAGCATAAATAATCACGTAAACTGACTTAATGCTTTTATTTGTGTCCACAAGCAAAACAACGAAGTCCATATGCTCTGATCACAACCGGGGATGTTGTTGAAGATCCGGATGGCGATTCAAGGTATTTATGGGGTCTTTATTTAATATATAAACTAATCTTTGACTGAGGAAATTGACTGTAGGTGGGCACAGCCCATTCTAACCATATCATCATCCAAAATGAATCACATACTCGCAAAAGGCTTTTCTGCCTTATGCATTGAATCTCATTTTTTAAAGACCTTATTGTATTTTTCAAGAAGAATTGAGGAGCTGGACCATATCTAATTTAACTTAACATAACTCTTGTTTTAAGTGCATTAAATCAAGAATTGGTGTTCCATGTATTTGTGGTTCGAATAGTATGCATTGTGCTGGCGGCGAGCCACATGGGATGAATATAACTTAAAAAGTAAAAACACAAATACAGATGAAGTCAGTTTTTCCACTGGGCAATACATCATTATTTCACCATTGTGATATCAGCCGAGATATTGTCTTAGATAATCTTTAACATGATATAAATGATCATTCTGCCTTAAATGGCTCATTACAATCAAGGAATGTCAACAAAAGACACTGGTGTATTTGTCTTTGTTTACTTGCAGTAGTTATCTGTCAACAGTGTAACTCTTAATATTTTGTGATCTATCCTAGAATATTGATAAAGTATTTACTCACAATACTTTTATTTATTAACTGACTGGTGAAGATAAACGATTTTGAACAAAACTATCAGGCAGAGAACCTTTTTAAGTCCCAGTATTTCGTTTTTCTCATGCTTCCTCTTTACGGCAGGTAATGCTGGTCCCTTGTTTGTTGGCTGAAGTTACGTTGGCTTCAGGTCTGTAGGGAGCGGATCATTCAAAGTGTTTCAATTCAGCTCACTAGGCAAGAGGACACAAACATCTATTTTTCCCCGCATACCTCTCTAAAGAAAACAGGCTCTGGGTTTTAATCCAGAACTGAGGCTTTTGTGGCTTTTAAGACGACATTGACCACATTAGCATTAAGTAAACTGGTTATTTGCTTGAATCAACCTGCAGACGAGCATTTTCACGTCACACTATCACAGGTTTGTTGTGTTGATGTCCATTTTATGCATTCAGCCCAACTGTGTGTTGCATTTTCCCTTTTGTTTGCTTTTTTCTTCTTTTTTTTATGGCCCAATTCCCATTTCAGAGAACAATCTCCACTAACTGACGAACAGTTGGTAGAAGGGTAAGACCAAATCATTCTAAACCACCTTTCCTCCGCTTAGATCACCCCTGTCGTTTTTTTTTAATCCCCTTCTTTCCTATTTTGTGTCCTTTTTATGGATCCCCGACCCTAATCTCAGTCAAATCCTTCATCGTTAGCAGATCCAGTGAATCGGTGCTTTGGTCAATTCAGGACTGCAGTTCTGCTTTTCGTCTGTGCTGAAATGCCCCTTTTGGAGAAAAAGAAAATCAAACAGTTTGAAACTACAATTAAGAATTAATTTACCTCAAAAATGAGCAGACAAAATATAAATCAAATGCAAACTACAGTAAAGCAAATGCAGCACATTCTTTTTTTAATTGTGCTATGCGGTAAGTCTGATGTGTTTAATTTGTTTCTGAAGGTTAACGCCTTGATTTGTATCCCTTTAATTGCAGCATGAGTTACTTAAGTCAAACCAGCATGTGTCTTTCTATTTCTGCATTCATTCAACTTCACTGTCGTTGCAAGGAGGCCTCTTCCTCTCTTCTCCCGTCCAATGGCCGCATAGACCTTTTTATTTGTGCTGACATCGTTGAATTACATTACAGGCAGATACATCTTATTAACGCAAACCCCTCTTATAGACAGGAATGTGAACAATGTGAGCAGTCTTACTCCTCCCAGCTGTTGCTGTGCTTTAACCTCCCACCACGCTGTGCTCGTTTTTTCTTACTGAGGATGTTTTTTTCCTTCTTCGAGGTTCTCGGACATCATCCTCGCCACCATTCTGGCCACCAAGTCTGAAATGTGTGGGAAAAAGTTTGAACTGAAGATAGACAATGTTCGTTTTGTGGGTCATCCTACTCTCCTTCAGCATCCTTCCATCATTCAGGTAAGGAAGGAAAAAGTCAAAAACTGTGAAGTGCAACATTTCAAGTGCAAAAAAAAGATGTTGTACAAGTTTTCCCTTCGATGACTTACTGTCAAATAAATCATGTCAATATTGAAGATACATTAACTGTAAGTGCACAGTTTGTGAACACAACAGAAGATGTGACGTATCGTCTGTAGAATCACTGCATTTAATAGTTTTGGGCCTCAGCTTCTTTATTATAAACTGTATTTGACACATGTGATTTATGCTGTCAATTAAAAAAAAACATATTGAATTCTATGAATATCTTTACATTACAGGTCATTTAGCAGACGCTTTTATCCAAAGCGACTTACATTACACTTTAAACCCATGGCTTTTTCATATTTTGCCCGGGGAGCAATTAGGGGTTAGTTGTCTTGCTCAGAGACACTTCGACTTGAAACATGGCAGCCAGGACTTGAACCACCAACCTTGCGGTTCCCAGCACACTCACTCTACCCCCTGCGCCACGACGACCCCGACCTTTATTATTCAATTGTTTGTGTTAATATTGTCCTGCCATCTGGCTCCCAGACTGTTTCTTAGTTCACCTCGGTCCCCATGTTAATGTCAGCTTAGTAAAATGAATCTATACCGCAGCAGCAATTCCCTGCTGACTGTTAATGTGTCTAATGATTCACCGCCCATGATGCCGAGATGACGGTATTTAAAAGGGTTATTGATATGCTATCAGATATGAGTTGTTGTCTTTTCCTGGTTTTAAAACCTGTATTACAGTAGAGCACATTTTCTGAACATAACCGTTTTAGCAGTTTTTTATCCATATGGCTGATGATTAATTATACAAATGTTGTTAAATCATTGGTCAACGAACCCATATTATTGCAATTTCAAATATTGCAATGATATTGTTTGGTTCGCCCGGCTCTCGTTACAGGTGATGGAAAAAAAACGTAAAATCCATAGCAGTCCAATAACATTTTTTATTATACGGTTATGCTGCTTTTTAATTAAATCATCTTTAAATCAACATGACGCACATTTTAAAAACTTTTCGGGAACATGTATTTTATGCCACTTATGAAAAACCTATTTTTCTACCCGGGCAGGTTTCTAAAACGGACCCTTCACCTAAGAGAGAAATGCCTACGATGATCCTGTTCAGTGTGGTGTTTGCACTCAGGGTAGGAAATGGCTTCGAGCTAAATCATTTAGATGTCACATTGTATTAAGTTTAGAATTTTGCTTGTGGTGTATAAACTTTTAATATCGCATATCATTTCTGGCACAATTTAGTCAGCTGGCTGTGGGTGGGACACTCGTACTCTGTGTTAATCTGTGTTTACGGTGAACGTGAGGGGTGTGAGTGAGTGATAATATTCCAGTAAACTCTCACTATCTGTGAGAGCATGGGAGCTAAAGAGGGAGTGGGGGCCAATGCGCTATGCTTAATCATGCTGCGCAACAGGGGGCCGCCTGTCCCCGCCCATGCTGAGTCACTGCACCCGGTCAGTCCCAGTGCAGCTGAGGTCGAAAAGTGCTCAGTCATGTTTTGTAGACTCAGCAACTGTTGCATTTGTACCCTGAACAGCAAAAATAACATTGGCTTTTTCTAACATGTTTCCTTTCACAAAATGAAACCATTCACATATGTCTACCAATAAATTATTTTATGTTATCATACATGTTCATTTTGATACATCTGCATTGTGTTTTTGCTTTTAAATCTACTCTGAAAGAAAAGCTTCAGAGCAATGCCAAGAGAAGCTGTTCATTTTTATAGAATTGGTCCATCCACACTGACAGAATATTAGAAATACAAGTTTGATGCATACAAAACCCTGAATAAACTTCGTCGTACTGAGAACGTGGTTCAGTTAACATAATATTCATTAGTGTTCATAAAGAGTCTCCTTCTCATCTTTGGCGTCTACAGGCGAATGCTGACCCATCCGTCATCAGCTGCATGCACAACTTGTCCCGCCGCATTGCCATAGCCATGCAGCACGAGGAGCGGCGCTGCCAGTACCTGACCAGGGAGGCCAAGCTGATGCTGGCCGTTCAGGATGAGATCACCACCATGACCGAGAGTGAGATGCATGAGGGGCTAGTTGTGCAGAATCACTCGTTTATTATTGCGCAATGGAACTTCTCGGTATACTAATGTTGTTATGTAGTGTAATAGTTTCATTCTGTGTTTTGTCCCGATTCAAGCGGATGGAAACCCGCAGTCCCCATTTAGACAAATTCTCCCCAAATGTAAACTAGCCAGGGACCTGAAGGAGGCGTATGACAGGTGTGTGATTAAATGTAATACAGGGCTAGTTTTTGTTACTCCTCCTCCTTTCTTTCCAGGCAGGATGCAAATTGTTCACACAGCTGACCCCAACATTCATGTTGTTGCAGCCTTTGTACGACTGGCGTTGTGCGACTGCATATTAACAACTGGCTCGAGGTGAGCTTCTGCTTACCCCACAAGATCCACAGGATCGGTGGCACCTACATCCCCCCTGAGGCGTTAGAGCGCAGCCTCAAGGCAATAAGGTTTGTGGCTAAAATACACCGTTTAGACGTTGCTCTATTTGGTTTTAGTCAGCGGCTGTGGAATGTGAAAGTGAAAATTGTCTATCATGACGAACCACCGACACGCCGGCCAACCTTCCACTTCTCAAAACGTTACATAAATTAATATGCAGATTGATCTTTTTCTAATGCATTATTCCTGATTATATTTAGATGTTATGTTTAAATACAACTTTTCATTTATTATAGCAGTATCTATGTGCTAATAGTTTTCTTCTTTTTCCAAAAATGCAACATCTTTGCAACAATTCTTCTTTTTTGCTAAATTTATTTTTTATTCTCAACATAATTAATAGTGTTTTTGGTCTGACTTGACTACGAGACCGGTAAGAAAAAGAACAATACGCTAAATATTATAATATATAATAGGATAAACTCATGATTTCGTCACCCTTACATTTAGTCCGCTAACATGCCCGAAAGCAGCATCAGTTCTTTTCAAAGGAGTCTTGGTGTCTTTAACGGCGGATGAAGGGCTTGTAAATTCGGAGCTTCAATGCTGACTTGCTGCTCAAACCTTCTGGAGAAACCAATGGAGACTTTTGTGTGGAGTATGCTGCCACCTGTTGTTACTTTAGCATAAAAATATATCCCTCTTTAGAAGCATTTATTCCACTGCATTTCTACGGCACTGGAGAAAGAGGATTTTAATTTAAATGAATCCGAGTGGTCGGTTTGTGCCTTTGGATACTCAGTTGTTCTGTACGCTATTCCCTTTTGACCTGTGAAGAGAAGATCTGTCTATTCAGAGGCTGCGTGATCTGTCGTTTGATCCTCCAGACCCTATCATGCCCTGCTGCTGCTAGAAAGTGAGAAGGCCCTGCTGAGCCAGCTTCCTCTGGACTGCTCTCCTGCGATGGTGCGCCTCATCAAAACCTGCTCAGCGGTGAAAAACCTGCAGCAGCTCGCACAAGATGCCGACCTGGCTTTACTTCAGGTGGATACAAACCAAAGGGCGACCATGGCAGAGATATCCGATTGTCTTTTTTACATATAGTACAGAAACGTGTCAGTAAATGTCCCAGAGGTGTTGATGGTGTCTCGCTGCCATCTAGTGGTCAGCAAAAGTACTTTCAGAAAGAAAATGTTGAAGCAGCCAATCCAAGAAGCTTTTCCTTCTACAGTTGGTTTTCAATTGCAAATAGTCTTTTTGTTTGGATGATTACATTTCACATCATTTGTATCATTCTTAAACTCCTTTTCCTCTCAGATATTTCAAATTGCTGCTCACTTGGTTTATTGGGGAAAAGCAATCATCATCTTCCCGCTGTGTGAGAACAACGTCTACATGCTGTCTCCTCATGCCAACATCTGCCTGTAAGCGTTAATAATGTGATGTACTGATTACCGTAGAGCCGATGAAGCTTTAAAACCTCTTTGAAGATGTATTTTAAATCTGTGTCCAAGGGAAAAGTGGAAATAATGTCCATCTCTCCCATGATAGATACTCCCCATTGGCTGAACAGTTTGCCCAGCAGTTTGCTGGTCATGATCTGCCCTCCATGTTGGCCAAGTTCTCCCTGCCTGTCTCACTGGCCGAGTTCAGAAACCCCCTGGAAGCTCTGGCACAGGAGGTAGGATTATCAGACACGTACAAACACTCAGGAAATAACCTCACCCATGCCCACTGGATTAAACACACTACACGTGTAAACCAATGAGTAATTAGTATTAATAGAAAATGAGGCCACCACTATTAATAAGTGTGTACATATATATCCAAAATAAAATAAACAATAATACAATGTGGATAAAAGAGAGACAATCATCCTGGATGTCAGTTAACTCTATTTTGTTATGTTTTCTGTTCCTTAAAATAATGTCATTCTTTTTTTATTAATCCCAGAAAGGAAAAAATGTACTTGGAAATAACCGGCTTTCTTCTAACAAATGAAACAAAATTGAAATGACCTTTTTCTGGTAAATCCCTTGCACGTACAGGACTATTCCTGTAAATGCAGATAGCGGATTGTAAAAGCAGAACCATCTGGTGTTCTCCTCTGAACCGTGCTGCTTTTGGCATCGCTACTTTAGCGCCTGTGATGAATAATAAATAGCAAAGAGACATCAGCTCCTGCGCTTGCAGCTCTTTTTTGTGGCTCCATTTAGAGCTCGTACCTGTGGCTGATTTAAGTCACCTGACCTGGTTAGGGCGATGACGTGTTATCGTGTTTACGTGTTATCGTGTTTACGTGTGCTGCTCCCATCAGGCCCAGCTGATCCAGATGGTGGTGTGGATGCTCCAGCGCCGCCTGCTGATACAGCTGCACACCTACGCCTGCCTGCTGGTGGCGCCCAGCGAGGATGAGCCCGGGTTGAGGGATGAAGACCCTCCGCTGGCTGCCCGGGTTGGAGGCCGCAGTCTCAGCACCCCTAGCGCGCTCAGTTTTGGCTCCCCGAGTACGTCCTCCCTCAGCTCTCTCCTCTGCCCGTCTCTTAGAGGTGCCACGTGGCGATGCTTAAGTCTATGATCGCCTTTGTGCTTCCTGTGCACAGCCAGCAGTGATGACATGACCCTCACCAGTCCCAGTATGGACAACTCCAGTGCAGAGCTGCTGCCCGGTGGGGACTCTCCACTTAACAAGAGGATGACAGAGACGCTGCTGGCCAGTCTTTCAGAGCGCGAGAGGCAGGTTATTCTCAACATCCCCGCTGCACAAAATCCAGAGGATCTGCGGATGTTTGCCAGGTAATTAAGCCAGAAGTCTATTTTCAGACAGTTAAAAGCCCCTCTATCAAAGCGGGACTGAATGCCACCAAGATTTTATTAGCCGCATCTCGCACAGTGTGACTCACAATGCACTCACATGGTCGCTGTTGTTGTAGTGTCGTATGGCGCCTTAACAGATGGGATACACCCTAGTGGAGAGTCAGTGATTCATGATGTTATTAATCACTGTTAATGCTTTGTCCCTAGTTTGGAAATGTTTTGCATTCACATAATATTAAGAAATTTAACAGAAACAAACTTGTCTGGAAAGTAGAGATTATTTGTTCAGCGTGCATGTGTTTGCAATAGGAAATACCTCACATTCATATTCGAGCTATATTAAACCTATTATTCTGCATTTGATTTTAACTGCTTCCAGGCTGCTGCACTATTTCCGGGGCCATCACCACCTGGAAGAGATTATGTACAACGAAAACATGAGACGGTCGCACCTCAAGACACTGTTTGACAAGTTCCGCAGTGTCCTTGTGGTGACAAACCATGAGGATCCTATTATTTCAATCTTTCAGTCACCCATGGAGTAGTTGAGCAGAGACGATGTCTGCTCTCACCAACTGGAAAATGTCAGTTTGAGATTGGTTAATAGCCGCTGTGCTCACGGCTAAGTGCTATTGCTCAACAGTGCCATTTTAATATGAGCTGACACAACAATTGCAAAAATGTATAAAGTGTTTTTCCCTCAGGAGCCAAATGTTTGTTTACAATATTAAATTATTTTGCACATATCAGAAATGGCTCAAGCGTTTACTCTGAGCGTTGGAACTATTGGTATCCACCCGTATCCCAGATGTGTTAGATCATCTGTATTTACAACAGATGGGCCCACTGTGGAACATTCATTCTTGCCCTCAGCTGCCTCTCCTCAGGAATCCCCAAAGGTGGGGAGACAAAGACCTCAACAAAGGGAAGGATCCAAAACATCAGAGGCTATTTTGCCACGAGAGAACCGAAGGGGGAGTGAAGGGGAGTGCGAGTCACAAGAAGAGAATTTCTGTTTATTAAAAAACAACGACGGAAGACCCATGAGTGAAAGATAGTATCAAGTGAAACTTTGCATCAGTACTATGAATACGCTTAAAGATCAGTTGCAGAAACATCTTGCATAACTTAAGCGGATTCAAATTTAGACATTCAACCAGTCAGTCATTCTACCACCTTGTCTTTCTTCTTCCTGAGTTGTTATGCTGCCTAAATGTAGAAGTCCACAGAGGCAACAGATGCCAGAGCAGTTAAAGGGATATTCCTGCTACATGTCCGACTGCACATCTGAGAGACCCGACTGGTTCATTACATTTCCAGACTGCCTCTCCGCCTCTCTATTCGCTACGCTCACACAGGGGTGGCCTCGAAGATAGAACCGCCAGGGCTTCTTGGCCCATTCCCCGTGAGATTCAATTCCAACGCGGGGCGCAGATACGATATCGTGGGGTCCTGCCGGATTCGCGCTGGGCCCCCCCTCCAGCCACACGTCTGGGTCGGAGGCCAGGTCTCGGCGGTCAAAACAGCGGGATATATTTAGAGCCTGGCACAGCTTGGAAGGCCCGTTGCACAGCTCCTTTTCCTTCAGTTGTCGGGCTCCGTCTTTGCGTCTGGCCGCCCTCAGCTCCCTCATGGCGGTTTGACCCCGCAGGGGCTCGAGAGCGCGCAGCAGCACGGCAGCACCCTCCCCTGGGGTTCCAGCACAAAGTATGCATCAGTCACCAGGGCTCCACTCTGTCTCCTCCCTTCAGCCCTTCATACACTGCTGTTTTCATGTAGGATATATTATCAATAAACATTTGGAAGTGGAACCAAAAAAGGGCTTTTTAAAACGTGTCCCTTTGCATGCTTCAGTGGAAGTGATCTCTATGACCTTTACCTTCACTGGACACGTTCATACAGAGGTAGATGCCGTAGATGGGATACACATAGATGGTGCCGGGCTCCATGAACATGGCAGCGTTCCTCTCGGTGCGTTTGCCTCCAGCTGAGTGGGACGCTTTGTCCTCCCCTCCGAGGTACGCTTCTGTTTCCACTATTCTCCCTCGCAGCTCAGTACCATCTGCACACCTGCGAACCAACTCCTGCAGGGACAAAGATTGTATTTCATTATGATTAGTCGATTGATTTGTACAAGTATATTGATAGAGATTCAGCGCAAATGGCAAAACATAAATTATAATTTTGTGGATGTTTTTTTTTTTTTTTTAAGTCTTGTGGGTGCTTGACAGGTGCATTTATTTAAATGTGGGCTGTCCATCCCTCACAAGGAGACATTTGAGGCCAATTTGCAAACACTATACAGACCAATGAATCGATTAATAAAGAAAATAGTCTTTAATTGCAGTCCTGGGTTACAGATGACCCACCCGGATGCATTTTGTTTTTTTATAAGGGTGTAGCTTGTCAATTTAGATAGCAACAAAACGAATAGATGGCAGCGTTACCTTGCCAAGCAACGCTTTAGCCAAACTGATACAGGGTTGGTTGAAAAAATCCTCCTTGAGTCTGTGCTGACTTAATTCCTGTTTATTCAGTTTGGCAGGTGAAACCTTCAAATCCGTGGGATTTAACCCTGATGCGGGAGTCTTTCTTTTTCTCCCTGCCATCCCGGCGAAACCCCTGAAACGTGATAAAACCTCCTGTCTGTTTTCCAATAGCCAGCAGCGCGTTTCTGAACGCTGTCAACCATTAACGCACAGCGCTGGTCCCAGTAAACAGGAAACAACGACGGCGCGTCTCTTAAAGGGGCCGCGCACCATTTAACGCACCCACTATTCAGTATGAATTGTCATTATAAGTGTGTTAATCCAGTCTGTGAGCAGGAAGCTCCTCCTGTGTCGTTTGCACATACTCGTAAAATGTGACATAGCAGACGTAGAAGTTTTCTTCAAATGGCAGCTAACTGTTCTTGTCCCCCCCCCTCTTAACCCTGGACTTTTCCTGCTGCTGTCTTATCTCCTCAGCCTCATTTGAAAACACTGCGCTCTAATATAAAAGGTTATAAATAGAGCTGGTGCGCTCATGCCGGCCTGTGCCCAGGAAGTAGACGGCGCCAGATTGGCCCCGGGCACCGGGTCCATGTGGCTTTCTGGAAGACTAACAGTGTGTGACATGGTGCCGCCGACTGCGACGTTATCGGGAAAGAATAACTGTGCTGTTGTGAGGCACCGTGTGCCGGTCTGCAAACGCACGAATGCATGCATCGACCGATGCGAGTGGAAGGTTAGCTACGTCCTACGTGGGGGCAAGTAGGTCCACGATAATCATGTTGATCTGTCAAATAAAAAGCAAACAAACAAAAACAAACAAAAGAAGCAGAAAATATTAACGGCCTGTGTGCATTCGTGCAAGTGAGATGTTCTTGAGTTTTAATCAATATGTTGTCATACAATAACTGTGCATTTGGGCCTTTAAATGTCATAGGTCGCCAAGTCTAAAAAGAGTTTAAGGGGGAGAAAGGGTTTAGTTTATGATGGTTCTGACTATTGTATGTGCAATATCGTATGTGCAGTCGACGGGTAAATCCTGGTGATGGGTTGCTTTGTCTCACTCAATTTTGAATACGCCGTATATCACAAATCCTTTTGTCTACAGATTTTTCAATACAAATTTTCATTTAGTGTAATAAGTTATTTAACAGTATTAAATTAATTAACATGAAAAAACACAGATAACAATTCTACCAAAAGAAATGTACCCCCACAGAGGCCCCTCTTCTCCAGTCAGATCTTTGGAGAGGAGCCACGAGGGACATTATGTGTGTGTGTGTGTGTGTGTTTGTGCAGAAAGTGCAGTGTTTGTGTGAGGCACTTAAAAAGACATTGGATATATGGTAAATGAATTTATTACAACAACATGAATCATAGTCATGAAGACATGGATTGATTCATCGGGCCAGGATATGATCTAGACACAATTCTGCTGAGCACGCTCTGTAAAATGACTCTGGCATGAGTTGTTTACTTTGGTGGACCAATGGAGGCCATTGTTAGCTTTGACTGTGTTTCCACTGCCTGTCAGGAGTGACGCTGTGCTCTTTGTCTTTGCAGCCTCTCATTGCCACAGCGGCCCATAATCTTAGACGCCTTAACTTGGCCGCAGCGTTGCCTTCTGGATCACTTTCACCTCCAGCAGTGACGCTGAGCAGAGAATCATCTGCATGTGCAGACGGACCAGCAGAACGCAAAGGACTCACTACACCATGAGTCCGAGAACGTTATGAGGAATAACGGTCAATCTGGGTGTGATATCTATATATATATATATTACCTTAATGCTCATTAAAAGTTTATAAAATTCAAATTTACACTAGTGAAATATTTGAAGGGCTTCCTTCATACATTTTTAATTCAGTGGTAGACATCGCTATCTTTAAATGTGGTCATATGAAAGTATAACATCAAACGAAACAAAACATATGAATGAATGAATTGCTTCATTCCTAATAAGGTTACCTTATAACTTCTTTTTTCTTTTCAGATCATAACAGCATGTCTAAAAAAAGCAGATTGATCAAATTGTAGTAATATTTGAAAATAAAACACAAAGATTTTATTTTATTTTCCTTCATCAGGACCTTTTTAACTATATACGTACTTGTTTGTGACTCTCTTTCTGACACAAAAGAGGCCGACGAGTCTGGGAGTCATCTGCATTCTCAGTCTTTGATGGGATTAATTATTAATTGATGACAGTCAATGATTCATGAGTCCCTTGTCTTGTTTGCCGCACAGGTGGCTGGCTTCTCACCGGGAGGACGACGGGAGCGGTATTACATGTGAGAACCACACATGTTCGGGAATGCCACGCACACGCGTGTCTACTGTACGTTCCTTTAAACCTGCCCTGAAATAAAGAAAGCCACAGTCAGGTCCAAGGCCTCAGTGACAGTGACAGTCTGAATGCTCTTTTAGATGATTTAAAGAAGAAAAACTCTGTTGGGTTTGTGGATGAAGCCTGCGCTCAAATCGCCGTCACCTTTCTCAACCCACTCTGATAACAGCTTCCTTGTCTCTGCTCACACCTGTGGCCCTCAGAGCCGACAACTGTTGAGTGAGGGAGGGGGAGGGCTGTCTGCAGGATTTCACTGCTCTTATCGCAAAAACCAGGGAGTATAAATCTGCTCAACAGCCTGCTTCTGCATGTGGTATTTGCCGACCGCACAGTGGTTTGCCGTTAGTCATCGAATGAAATCCTGCACTGAAGTTTAACTAAAGGGATTCAGCTCGTGTGATCAGTGCAGTGCGGAAAACAGCACCTTAAGATAACAATGTTTCAGTGTGGATTAATATGTATTTTCTGTTAAAAAAAATGGAGTGCCCTAGAAAAAGCAGGTCTCGTCTCATCGTGTTGGTGACCATTTGAATAGTTCTGTGTTTTGGTAAACCAAGTCACCCGTGTTAGCAGAAACCTCACTGCGGTCGGTTGAGGGAGGAGGAAGCCGTTGACGGTCTGACCAGTTCCTTTTACTTAAGCGTGTGTCTGATTGATGGGGCACCAGCGGCCCTTGAGTGCACCTACAGGTCCCGCGTTGCTTCCTAATTGCTGCCTTTGCTTCAGCTTCCGCCGCCCCGACCCCCCGGGGGACACGCCGCCATTAATTACTGCAACTTCGCGGCCTGTCATTCGGGCCACCGAGAGGGTCCTTACACAGCTGAGTGCACGTGAAGTAGTTGATAAAAACCCTACAAACTCATTTTGCTTTTCAGTCATTTCTTCTCAGATCGATTGTGAGAGGCGTCTCCTGTGAGCCTGCGGCATCCTTTTGGCTCGACCTCACGTGAATAGTCCTGATGCAAAAAGTAAGATATTTTGGAGAGCTGCTGATATTGTTCGTGGGGCGGGGGGGGATGTGTTACAAAATTTGTTCTACTTCCTGTGGCAAGAAAGTACGTTCACTTCCGATGAGCACACATGAATCTAGTATACTTGTGTACTTGGTGCTCCTTGTCTGCACCCCAGAAACATCCTACTTCCCAACATCAATCTCTCTCCTGCAGAATGTCCCCAGGTGGATCTTAGCTTTCACTGGAACCATGAAGGAATGCACCGTAGTGGTCTTTTCCTAAAATGGGTCGGCAGCCTCTATTACCGGACAAGTAGGAAGGCTCTAAATGCTCTTTCACAGAGCGAAGACGAGGGATTGTGTTAAGGTTTCGGAAGCTCTCGAGGGAGGACTCAATCCTTTGTTCTCGTCCCGGCCGGAAACGAGGACACGAATGAGTCAATTCGTTTAAATTCAAAAATCAAAAGTTATTTAATAACTGAACAACGTAATAGGGATTACAATTACAAAGTGAAATACTAAGCGAACAGTGGAATATTTCGCGAAATAGAGAATCCTCTGAGCAAGTCTGAAGTGACTTATCAACGCGGCTGCAGGAGAAGTTCTAACAGTCTTTTCCCCGCTTTGGTCCTTTGAAAACTCTTGAGGTGTGTCTTCTTTGGTGCATTTGAATGTCATTGGCCTCTTCTCCAAAGGGTCACCTCCTCCATTGTCCCCTTCACGTCGAGGTGTGAAGCTGCAGCTGTAACCTGAAACCTCTCTGTCCTAGCTGTCCCTCAAATTCCAATGCACTCAATGTAGATACAGTGGCTTTATGCCTCAATGAGTGAACCCAACAAAGCATACATCGTTTAAGTCTTCATCTTATAACTAGTATACTTTCATTACAACAACCCATCATTAATGATCACCGTTCATCACATTTCATCATAAGATCTAAAACAGTTCATGTGGTTCAATTCTCAAGACATTTGCCTCAGTCGGCTGCCTTACATTAAGTTGTTCATTTATTACCTGACAGGAGAAAAAACTCCCAAAAAACCCTTTTTGGGGATAAAATTGGGAGAAATCCATAAAGAACGGCAATTGGCATCCGTCCCCAGGTTTTAACATCACATTGTGAGAGAATGTTAATGTGTACAGTGTTTATATGATTTAAATGACTATGAATTGTGTTTGATTGAAATTGCATTCACTTCATCTAACATGTTAATGTAATAACTAATATCTAACATCACACAAACTATAATTCTAACACTAAACATTATTACACGTACTACAATTCTATGACTAGGGGTGCACTTCTGGCTTAAATCCCTAACAATTGTGAGTACGAAGTGTTGGACTCTTGTTATGTATTTTAACAGATTTGAATGGCAGACATGAATGTATTAACTTTTCATACGGCCCAAATAAATTCGAGGCCAACGTGCCACACAGCTAGTTGCTGTGAAAAGGCCTCGGGAACGCCGGAGAGGTTTTGTTGTGAATAAATGACTAAGACACGGCAGCAGAATCCCAAGAGAGGAGCAACAATGATGAGAAAAGTCGTTGTGGTAATCTGGATTCATTCATCCATAAGACAATGTTCCAAGACAATGTTTTGGTCCTTTTATATTACTTCTGAGATATGTTTCTTTTTAATGTTGCTGTTTACTCCTTACAAACAAACAAGAGCAACCAGCAACTAGCATCAGCAGACGTGAACAGTGTTCAAGCTTAGTTTAACAGATCTCTATCATAATAACATCAGCTGATCAAAACTCATATGATGGTGTTGAATGTGCTCATTGAATTGAAGAAAACGTGGGGGGGGGGTATGTAACAGGCAACCATTTTCTTCATTGGCTCAGTATTTAGAAGTAAATCACAGGGTTCAATGATATCATGGGATCATTGTGTCATGTGGCAACGCTGCATGATTCACCAAAAGAATGGACGAGGGGAAAAACATGGCTTAATAATAATAATAATAATAATACTTTCTTAACATTTATATAGTTGTATTTATTAATTTCCCGCACTCTCAGAACGTAACAGGATGTGATTTCAAGGGGTAATGGATCACTTCAATTATTTTGACTATTTTTTTGGGGGGGGGGGGTTCGGTGACAGGAATCCCACATAGTAAAGGATCAAGGCCATAATAAAACTGTAGCTCTGGTAAGTGTGCAAAAAAGTGATGCCGATGATATGTGTTAATAGCAATTTCAATATAATGACACCAATTCTGCATCAACATTGTTTTGAGGGGGTTATTTTACCGCCCTGCAATGCAATTCATTTAAACTAAACATAACGCTTTACAACCTCCATCGCACCCCAACTTAGTGTGCGGTTCGTGTCTAATCGATGACCACTCAGGGGGTTCGGCTGTTTTCCTGGAGAGAATCGGTGATCTCGGGGGGGGGGTCCCGGTCCGGTACCGCCGATCCCGCTTTAAGTCACCGACCACCCCCACCACACCACGAAACCTCGACTTATGTAAAGCACTCTTTCTCTTTCCCTGCCTTATTTTATCAATCTTTCACATTCTGGAATATTCTATTGCTTATATCGGAACAGATTGACGACTAAAAGATGACTAAATACAAAACACCCCCTTTTGGGTGATCAGCTTAATTGTAAAAACCCACCTGAACCCTTTAAGGATTTCTAATTTTCACATGCAATGTTAATGCAACAATATCTGATCTATGAAACAATCACCAGGGCAGATGAAATGATGCTAAATTCATAACGACTTCAAGGAGGAGGCAGCACCTAACAAGTCACATGTATATTTCCTCTGAAGAGTACTTACGATAGACGTCCCCCTGGTCCTCCCGGGTGCAAACAGTAGGTGTGGATTGCATTCCAAATATATCCCACTTGAATCGCAGAAAGAGAAAAGGCAACTGCCGACCACAAGGTCACGTTCCTTGACTGT